TCTGTAGGAAATGTTCAAATATACACTTCATTTCAAATAAATACAGCATATCATGTTTTAAAAAGAGAAAGTAAAATTGTTGATTAACAACGCGGTCTTTGTTTTAAACTATGCCTTACACTCGTGCCAATATTTTCTCCGCACTTCTGTTATATCAGAGTTTGTCAATCAGGATTGGATAAAATATTTACCCCATTATTTATAAATTATTTTTTTAAAATTTAATTTTACGATTATTGTGCTTTTTCTAGACATTTAGATAATCTTTGTTTAATATTGACTGGCCAGCGATATGAACATGATGAATGTTGAATATTTTTATTTAAATTGTTAACTCCGCAGAAACGCACAGCGACTTAAAACTTTCATATCATATAACCGACCGCCTCCTGGCGGCCGGTAAAAAGTCTTTCGCAGGCTTGCTTCGTGTAGGTGCTTATATCTGGATTTATATAAGGATTTCTTACTTTAGAAAATGTCTGATGCAGTGGGTTTTAAACTTAATTTTAGATTCCCAGTGATAATTTATCTCACTTATCCTTGTCATTTTTGGGGGGCAGAACCCTTGCCGAGGTATTTAGTTGGGTACATCCCACTAATTATTTTTAGAATTGGTAGGAGAAGAAAGTAGTGCAGAAAAAATTACAAGTTCCATAATTTGCAGACTTGCATAAAAAAAATTGGGCAGATGTACTGAATTGAGCCTCACACTTGTTGATAAGGAGTATCTTTCCTACCAAAAAAGCTTGGAAAATGTAATTTATCAAGAAGATCAGCTGAATTATTTTGTGTATTATAACGCCAGTGATAATTCTGAAATTCCCCTACTTTCACTTTCATTTTTAGAGGTCCCCGCAGACAGACGCATTTTGCCGGAAAACGAATCTGACATGCCACCTCGAGATTTTAACCAAGGAAAGACAAGTTGATGTGCTTTGATTTGAGGGGTCACTCACTTCTGAACGAAAATTAGGGACATCGCTATGAGAAGAAACGTTAACATTGTCGCCTATGGGAAAACAATTAGTGGACTGTACCCATATTAGGAAGCCCATAAGTAAGTGAAAGATGTCATAAATCTTGAATTTATTTCAAAGTTGGTGTTTTCTATTATTTTCTATTGTTCAAATTTATGAAAAAAACAATTCTTTAATTGTTGATACACATTTTTAAACAAATTGATTCATAAATAAAGTGTTTACCCCCCCCCCCCCCCCCCGAACAATCAACATGCTCATACATGTATCACCCATTGTTTACACATGTATCATGGAGATTGATCAGAATGTAAAGTATTTATATAATTCATTTATATACAGAATCATATAGATTTTATTAATTTATTAAGAATTTCAATTATTAGATCTACATCTTTGTTTTGTAAATTATGCATTATTAAGCTACACGGATATAAGAATTGAAATTTCATGAATATTTGACAGTCAAAATTACGATTTGTCAGAAAATTCAAAATTTTGTCTCATTTTCCTACAAATTACAAAATGGTTACCATGGAAACAAAACAACTTTGTGGATTATTTATTTAATCTGCAAAACCACATATTTTCATTTTTTTAAAGTTAATAATAGTATATAAGCACTGATTTTGTCTTAAATAAAAAGTACGGGAAAAGTAATGATACACATGTATTGAGGTATCCATTATTATGATGTCATTGTGACGTCATAGATGAGTAAATTTGCATTGGTATAAAAATTCCTTTGAAACAAATGATTCTATATAGGATTATAAAGGCTTATAACTTTTTTATTCATAGACCAAATTTCATGAATGATACCTCAATGGACAGGAAATAACTTCAGTCAACTTTTTTATTTTACTACTTTCGGGGTATTTGTGAACTTCATTTTTTTGTCATTTCTGGAGAAACTATGAATTTTAGAGGGTGAAAAGTTATCATATTTTGTGCGGAAATACAAAATTTTTTAAAATAAGTGAAATTGACCCAATTAAGTGCTTGATTATGATTTGACTATATGTATTTAAAGTTATGAAGGTGATTAAGAATAATATGAATGTGTTAAAAGGCTAAAATTTGACTTAAAATTTGGGAGCAGTTTTGGCTAGATTGGAGCATTTTTTAAGGATATTACACATAGAACTGTAAATTTTGTAAAATCTTAATTAATTGGTGAATTTTCATGAAACTTGGCATGATGTCTCTACTTATGCTCTAGATTGATAAAGAGTATGAAATATTGTAAAATCAAAAAAATGCTTTTCCATATTGGGTACATCCCACTAATTATTTTTAGAATCGGTAGGAGAAGAAAGTAGTGCAGAAAAAATTCCAAGTTCCTTAATTTGCAAACTTGCATAAAAAAAAATTGGGCAGATGTACTAAACTGAGCCTCACACTTGTTGATAAGGAGTATCTTTCCTACCAAAAAAGCTTGGAAAATGTAATTTATCAAGAAGATAGCCGAATTATTTTGTGTATTATAACGCCTGTTACAATTCTGAAATTCCCCTACTTTCACTTTCATTTTTAGAGGTTCCCGCAGACAGACGCATTTTGCCGGAAAACGAATCTGACATGCCACCTCGAGATTTTAACCAAGGAAAGACAGGTTGATGTGCTTTGATTTGAGGGGTCACTCACTTCTGAACGAAAATTAGGGACATCGCTATGAGAAGAAACGTTAACATTGTCGCCTATGGGAAAACAATTAGTGGACTGTACCCATATTAGGAAGCCTATAGGTAAGTGAAAGATGTCATAAATCTTGAATTTATTTCAAAGTTGGTGTTTTCTATTATTTTCGATTGTTCAAATTTATGAAAAAAACAATTCGTGAATTGTTGATACACATTTTTAAACAAATTGATTCATAAATAAAGTGTCTAGACCCCCCCCCCCCCCCCCGGAACAGACAACATACTCATACGTGTATCACCCATTGTTTACACATGTATCATGTAGATTAAATGTATCAATTTATAAAATTTATTTATTCAGAATCATAAATGTATAATTTGATTAAGAAGCTATTGTATAGAAGTATATGCTCCACTGTGGTTTATTTTCAATACACAAAAATTCACAAATGTGTTCGGGATCGGTATTCAATCGGGGTCAAGGTCGAAGTGAAAGTAGACTTAGCAGAAAGTTGTCAAAAGTGTTCAGTGCATTGTTTAGCAGTATATAGGTGATGGGAATTTGTATGTTACACAGGAGGCAAGAGGTATACCTTAGTACAATATTTGTAAATAACAATTTAATGTTTTTTGGAAGATGTCGATGATCGGCACGTCACATACGTGACATAACATACATCAATTCAGATCAGTTGCGCGGTGAAGCTGGTTACAGTTGTCTGGGAGTTAAACGATGTGTGTGAACATGCACATTAACTGGTTTCTCTCATATTTTTTAGCAATTGCATTACATGTATTTGTTGAATGTACAATTATTGTCAGCAAAACATGATTTTTATCTATTCTGTTGAATTAACTTAATTACCTATATATGTTAACAGTGTGATTTCAGGTGGAAGCCAATTAATCATTTTTTAAATTAATTAATTTCAAGTAATGGGTATAAAAGGAATATGGTAAAATTGTACGTGTTGAATGTCTGTGTTTCTGTCTGTCTGCAAATGTGATATTGTGCCATTTATTGTATTGATTTTTTTTTAGGTCCATGCAGATGGTGTTTAAAACTATTGGCCAGCAAATGCACGCCCATTTGAATAGATCTTGAAACAGCACCAGCAAAGTATGACAGTCGGCAAAATGTGTAAGTTAAAGTTTTCTAAAAAAAAAATTCATTGAAGTGGGGGATGGGGTGGGGGTGAGGAAATTTACATATTGAATAGGTGATCAGAATGTGAAAGTATTTAGCTATAACTAATCTGTACATGCACTGCTATATACATTTTGCAGCTCATATACATTTTATTTATTTATTTAAGAATTTCAAATTAATTAGATCTACATCTTTGTTTTGTAAATTATGCATTATTAAGATTACACGGATATAAGAATTGAAATTTCATGAATATTTGACAGTCAAAATTATGCGATTTGTCAGAAAATTCAAAATTTTGTCTCATTTTCCTACAAATTACAAAATGGTTACCATGGAAACAAAACAACTTTAGTGGATTATTTATTTAATCTGCAAAACCACATATTTTCATTTTTTTAAAGTTAATAATAGTATATAAGCACTGATTTTGTCTTAAATAAAAAGTACGGGAAAAGTAATGATACACATGTATTGAGGTATCCATTATTATGATGTCATTGTGACGTCATAGATGAGTAAATTTGCATTGGTATAAAAATTCCTTTGAAACAAATGATTCTATATAGGATTATAAAGGCTTATAACTTTTTTATTCATAGACCAAATTTCATGAATGATACCTCAATGGACAGGAAATAATCAGTACTTTTTTTATTTTACTACTTTCGGGGTATTTGTGAACTTCATTTTTTTGTCATTTCTGGAGAAACTATGAATTAGAGGGTGAAAAGTGGTCATATTTTGTGCGGAAATACATTAATTTTTTAAAATAAGTGAAATTGACCCAATTAAGTGCTTGATTATGATTTGACTATATGTATTTAAAGTTATGAAGGTGATTAAGAATAATATGAATGTGTTAAAAGGCTAAAATTTGACTTAAAATTTGGGAGCAGTTTTGGCTAGATTGGAGCATTTTTTAAGGATATTACACATAGAACTGTAAATGCTGTAAAATCTTAATTAATTGGTGAATTTTCATGAAACTTGGCATGATGTCTCTACTTATGCTCTAGATTGATAAAGAGTATGAAATATTGTAAAATCAAAAAAATGCTTTTCCATATTAGGAAGCCTATAGGTAAGTGAAAGATGTCATAAATCTTGAATTTATTTCAAAGTTGGTGTTTTCTATTATTTTCGATTGTTCAAATTTATGAAAAAAACAATTCGTGAATTGTTGATACACATTTTTAAACAAATTGATTCATAAATAAAGTGTCTAGACCCCCCCCCCCCCCCCGGAACAGACAACATACTCATACGTGTATCACCCATTGTTTACACATGTATCATGTAGATTAAATGTATCAATTTATAAAATTTATTTATTCAGAATCATAAATGTATAATTTGATTAAGAAGCAATTGTATAGAAGTATATGCTCCACTGTGGTTTATTTTCAATACACAAAAATTCACAAATGTGTTCGGGATCGGTATTCAATCGGGGTCAAGGTCGAAGTGAAAGTAGACTTAGCAGAAAGTTGTCAAAAGTGTTCAGTGCATTGTTTAGCAGTATATAGGTGATGGGAATTTGTATGTTACACAGGAGGCAAGAGGTATACCTTAGTACAATATTTGTAAATAACAATTTAATGTTTTTTGGAAGATGTCGATGATCGGCACGTCACATACGTGACATAACATACATCAATTCAGATCAGTTGCGCGGTGAAGCTGGTTACAGTTGTCTGGGAGTTAAACGATGTGTGTGAACATGCACATTAACTGGTTTCTCTCATATTTTTTAGCAATTGCATTACATGTATTTGTTGAATGTACAATTATTGTCAGCAAAACATGATTTTTATCTATTCTGTTGAATTAACTTAATTACCTATATATGTTAACAGTGTGATTTCAGGTGGAAGCCAATTAATCATTTTTTAAATTAATTAATTTTAAGTAATGGGTATAAAAGGAATATGGTAAAATTGTACGTGTTGAATGTCTGTGTTTTTGTCTGTCTGCAAATGTGATATTGTGCCATTTATTGTATTGATTTTTTTTTAGGTCCATGCAGATGGTGTTTAAAACTATTGGCCAGCAAATGCACGCCCATTTGAATAGATCTTGAAACAGCACCAGCAAAGTGTGACAGTCGGCAAAATGTGTAAGTTAAAGTTTTCTAAAAAAAAAATTCATTGAAGTGGGGGCTGGGGTGGGGGTGAGGAAATTTACATATTGAATAGGTGATCAGAATGTGAAAGTATTTAGCTATAACTAATCTGTACATGCACTGCTATATACATTTTGCAGCTCATATACATTTTATTTATTTATTTAAGAATTTCAAATTAATTAGATCTACATCTTTGTTTTGTAAATTATGCATTATTAAGATTACACGGATATAAGAATTGAAATTTCATGAATATTTGACAGTCAAAATTATGCGATTTGTCAGAAAATTCAAAATTTTGTCTCATTTTCCTACAAATTACAAAATGGTTACCATGGAAACAAAACAACTTTAGTGGATTATTTATTTAATCTGCAAAACCACATATTTTCATTTTTTTAAAGTTAATAATAGTATATAAGCACTGATTTTGTCTTAAATAAAAAGTACGGGAAAAGTAATGATACACATGTATTGAGGTATCCATTATTATGATGTCATTGTGACGTCATAGATGAGTAAATTTGCATTGGTATAAAAATTCCTTTGAAACAAATGATTCTATATAGGATTATAAAGGCTTATAACTTTTTTATTCATAGACCAAATTTCATGAATGATACCTCAATGGACAGGAAATAATCAGTACTTTTTTATTTTACTACTTTCGGGGTATTTGTGAACTTCATTTTTTTGTCATTTCTGGAGAAACTATGAATTAGAGGGTGAAAAGTGGTCATATTTTGTGCGGAAATACATTAATTTTTTAAAATAAGTGAAATTGACCCAATTAAGTGCTTGATTATGATTTGACTATATGTATTTAAAGTTATGAAGGTGATTAAGAATAATATGAATGTGTTAAAAGGCTAAAATTTGACTTAAAATTTGGGAGCAGTTTTGGCTAGATTGGAGCATTTTTTAAGGATATTACACATAGAACTGTAAATGCTGTAAAATCTTAATTAATTGGTGAATTTTCATGAAACTTGGCATGATGTCTCTACTTATGCTCTAGATTGATAAAGAGTATGAAATATTGTAAAATCAAAAAAATGCTTTTCCATATTGGGTACATCCCACTAATTATTTTTAGAATCGGTAGGAGAAGAAAGTAGTGCAGAAAAAATTCCAAGTTCCTTAATTTGCAAACTTGCATAAAAAAAAATTGGGCAGATGTACTAAACTGAGCCTCACACTTGTTGATAAGGAGTATCTTTCCTACCAAAAAAGCTTGGAAAATGTAATTTATCAAGAAGATCAGCCGAATTATTTTGTGTATTATAACGCCTGTTACAATTCTGAAATTCCCCTACTTTCACTTTCATTTTTAGAGGTTCCCGCAGACAGACGCATTTTGCCGGAAAACGAATCTGACATGCCACCTCGAGATTTTAACCAAGGAAAGACAGGTTGATGTGCTTTGATTTGAGGGGTCACTCACTTCTGAACGAAAATTAGGGACATCGCTATGAGAAGAAACGTTAACATTGTCGCCTATGGGAAAACAATTAGTGGACTGTACCCATATTAGGAAGCCTATAGGTAAGTGAAAGATGTCATAAATCTTGAATTTATTTCAAAGTTGGTGTTTTCTATTATTTTCGATTGTTCAAATTTATGAAAAAAAGAATTCGTGAATTGTTGATACACATTTTTAAACAAATTGATTCATAAATAAAGTGTCTAGACCCCCCCCCCCCCCCCCCGGAACAGACAACATACTCATACGTGTATCACCCATTGTTTACACATGTATCATGTAGATTAAATGTATCAATTTATAAAATTTATTTATTCAGAATCATAAATGTATAATTTGATTAAGAAGCAATTGTATAGAAGTATATGCTCCACTGTGGTTTATTTTCAATACACAAAAATTCACAAATGTGTTCGGGATCGGTATTCAATCGGGGTCAAGGTCGAAGTGAAAGTAGACTTAGCAGAAAGTTGTCAAAAGTGTTCAGTGCATTGTTTAGCAGTATATAGGTGATGGGAATTTGTATGTTACACAGGAGGCAAGAGGTATACCTTAGTACAATATTTGTAAATAACAATTTAATGTTTTTTGGAAGATGTCGATGATCGGCACGTCACATACGTGACATAACATACATCAATTCAGATCAGTTGCGCGGTGAAGCTGGTTACAGTTGTCTGGGAGTTAAACGATGTGTGTGAACATGCACATTAACTGGTTTCTCTCATATTTTTTAGCAATTGCATTACATGTATTTGTTGAATGTACAATTATTGTCAGCAAAACATGATTTTTATCTATTCTGTTGAATTAACTTAATTACCTATATATGTTAACAGTGTGATTTCAGGTGGAAGCCAATTAATCATTTTTTAAATTAATTAATTTCAAGTAATGGGTATAAAAGGAATATGGTAAAATTGTACGTGTTGAATGTCTGTGTTTCTGTCTGTCTGCAAATGTGATATTGTGCCATTTATTGTATTGATTTTTTTTTAGGTCCATGCAGATGGTGTTTAAAACTATTGGCCAGCAAATGCACGCCCATTTGAATAGATCTTGAAACAGCACCAGCAAAGTGTGACAGTCGGCAAAATGTGTAAGTTAAAGTTTTCTAAAAAAAAAAATTCATTGAAGTGGGGGATGGGGTGGGGGTGAGGAAATTTACATATTGAATAGGTGATCAGAATGTGAAAGTATTTAGCTATAACTAATCTGTACATGCACTGCTATATACATTTTGCAGCTCATATACATTTTATTTATTTATTTAAGAATTTCAAATTAATTAGATCTACATCTTTGTTTTGTAAATTATGCATTATTAAGATTACACGGATATAAGAATTGAAATTTCATGAATATTTGACAGTCAAAATTATGCGATTTGTCAGAAAATTCAAAATTTTGTCTCATTTTCCTACAAATTACAAAATGGTTACCATGGAAACAAAACAACTTTAGTGGATTATTTATTTAATCTGCAAAACCACATATTTTCATTTTTTTAAAGTTAATAATAGTATATAAGCACTGATTTTGTCTTAAATAAAAAGTACGGGAAAAGTAATGATACACATGTATTGAGGTATCCATTATTATGATGTCATTGTGACGTCATAGATGAGTAAATTTGCATTGGTATAAAAATTCCTTTGAAACAAATGATTCTATATAGGATTATAAAGGCTTATAACTTTTTTATTCATAGACCAAATTTCATGAATGATACCTCAATGGACAGGAAATAATCAGTACTTTTTTATTTTACTACTTTCGGGGTATTTGTGAACTTCATTTTTTTGTCATTTCTGGAGAAACTATGAATTAGAGGGTGAAAAGTGGTCATATTTTGTGCGGAAATACATTAATTTTTTAAAATAAGTGAAATTGACCCAATTAAGTGCTTGATTATGATTTGACTATATGTATTTAAAGTTATGAAGGTGATTAAGAATAATATGAATGTGTTAAAAGGCTAAAATTTGACTTAAAATTTGGGAGCAGTTTTGGCTAGATTGGAGCATTTTTTAAGGATATTACACATAGAACTGTAAATGCTGTAAAATCTTAATTAATTGGTGAATTTTCATGAAACTTGGCATGATGTCTCTACTTATGCTCTAGATTGATAAAGAGTATGAAATATTGTAAAATCAAAAAAATGCTTTTCCATATGAGAAGGCTACATGTATTCTTAATATGGATCATACACGCAGACAAAAAAAACTTCAGTTAAAATTTACAAGATCTCCGATCAATCTAAAAACAATGTTGTTTTGGTATTGGTAGTTATTACTTCATGGAAGTTTTCCCGGGTGACTTTTAAATGTCAAAAGTATGGTGGCATATTTATGCCATCCACATAATTTTTTTATCAGTATAGCATATTATGTCAAGTCAAGATAACTATCTCGTCAAGAGATGATAACTTTTTTTATTATATACCCATCAATTTCCTTGTTTTTTTTACTGTTAATTTTACAGAGTTTGATCCGATTTTCCGGATCACCACACTGTGGTTTTCTGAATCCATATCACCACTCTCTTAAACTGATGACGTAGTACGCAAAATCATGACGTTATTTTTCTTGCGCGTTAAAAAGTCCCTTGTTATTATGCTTTGTTTTATGGATAAATATTATACAATCGATCTCTAAAGTTTTATTCTGCTATATTTAGCTAGTTATAAGGGGGCATATAATAAATTTATCATTATAACAGTAACTTGATCCGAAGAGCCGTATCACGTCTCGTTGACAGGCGCGGATCATCAGATCAAACTCGACGCTTCGCGTCTCGTTAGATCTGATGATCCGCGCCTGTCAACTCGACGTGATACGACCCTTCGGATCAAGTTACTGTTATAATAATATATATGGTTTGTCGACAAAGACAGGCTTTATATCTTTTCAAGTCAAGATAGGCTATCACGTTTTGTTGCAATAGCTATCTTGACATAACTAGATTACATTAAATCGAGTTAAAGATAAATTATCTCGTTTTGGCAAAATAGCTATCGCAAAAATACAATAGCTTAAATTGAGTAGACGAGATAAAAGTCGGTGTTTGACGACAAACCACAAATTTTCATGACTGGACTAGTTATCTTGACTTGATGTGTTATCTTATGATGACAAAAAGTTACCTGGATGACATAAATATGCCACCATACAAAAGCTTTAGCAAGTGAAGGTTTACGATATTGAAGTAAATATACACTGTTTAAACGACTTAATTGAAATCTCTTTCTTTCTATTTTGCTCTCTCTCCTTCGACTAAGTTACAAGTACCTTTTGTGTTAAATTTATACATACATAATCATTTATTTGTTATTGTTCCTTATTACACTCTTTAGATGGACAAACTTTTATATTGGCTAGCAACGTAACAGAAAATATTTTAATTGAAAACAGCACTATTTCTAAAACAGAGAATTCTACCGATGTCGATGTCAGACGTGAAACCTCTTCCAGTATAAATGAACTTCTTCTTATCCTTATAGAGACGCTTGGATGTGTGGATCTTTTATTAATATTTGCTCACTTTTTTGTGTATATACACATGATCCATGTCCGGCAAAATAGAATTGATATGAATAGCATCGACACAACTGTGAATTACCACAGAACAAACACTATGTATGAGAATATCGATATCAATTTTCCCTCAACCTCGGATTTATAAAACGTTTATTATTTTTTTTTTTTTGTTATTTGTATTTAGTTTGCTTATTTTTTATGCAACAGGTACATATAGCAGTTCAAATGTTAAAAAAAAAACATATTAAAATGCTAAAAACCATGCTATATCATATTTTTCTGCATATGGGGTGTTATTGATTAATTTTATACAAAGCATGATTCTAAGGGATGATTTGGGCCAAACTTGAGAAAGAAATTTTTACATAGGAGACATGAATAAAAGCAGCGTCAAAGGGAATCAACAGAGTGAACTTAATTGTTGCCCATTTGTGTTTAGTGTCATACATGTAGTATGGGGTCTTATGTCTTAAGTGTAACTATAATTAGCTTCATGGAAAAATGCAGGATGATTTATGCATTATTAAATATTATTTTTTATGAAAATGTTTTCTTCGATTGTTATCACGGTATTTAATGTTGTTCCTAATGAGGAAATTATCTAAATTTAAGTACTAAGTTAAAAATTGTGTGTTTTAAATCCCTCTTGAGAATATTTTACTAATTTGGAGACGCCACCACTTGCTAAAATTTCTTGCTACACGGGAACTTTTTTTTACATGTTGTCATATTCCTATAGACCACTCGCCAAGTCCAGGAGATGATTTGAACCTTCAACGTTAAGATCAATTCCCTAAGAAGACGATTTATCCACTGCATCATTATGCAGGCGACGTCATTATATATAGTATTATTGACACGTTTAATTGACGAGAGATATGCTGCTTATCAGAATTATACAGCTGGTTTGCTTGGTGGCGTTTCTGGTGGTTGATAAATGAATGTTGATTTCGTTAGACACAAAGAATATAATTTCAGATTTATGTAAATGTTAGGCTATGAATTGAAATCCAAGCATCTGCTGACATATGAAAAAAATCCCATGTATGTGACAATTCCTAAAATGCTCTTTTTCCTCCTCATGCAGTGGAATGTTATTCGGATTATGTGCATTAGTATTTTGATAAATAATAAATTGATGGTAGAAAATACCCTCAAAAAATATATACCCCATTAACATGCCAAAAATTTGGCCCAACAAAAAAAAATAATAAGGAGGAATTTTTTTTTTATTATGATAAAGCCTTAAATATTTAAAATTTCTTAAAAAGTTTAGGGAAATAAACAGCTATAATCAAGAACTCATAATTTATTTAATTTCCTATACTTATAAATTTACAAAATCCCTCTATAATCCTATCTGACTTTGCTTTTTTGGGGTGGTGTTAGAAGCAATTACACAAACATTGCTCTTCCCTATTTAACCTCGTTCGTTTCTACATAGTCAATGTGTTTAAAAATTAAGCATCCTATATGTATTGTTGAATTGTACAGTTCCAAAGTTTTTATTGTAACCTTTCAAAAAAGGAAGCACTCAAACCTTTGCCATTTTCAAACTTGTTTCCTGATTTTGCGTACCATTTTACAAACAATATGCAGTAAAATATGCTTTAGAGAACGCACTAATAATGAATTGACACTTGCAACAAATTGAATTACATTCCCTGTGGGGTTTTAAAATATACTATGAACTTGACGGATATCACGAATAGCGTTTATAACGACGTCAAATCAGTAATAAGCGTGTTTTACTGTACACAGCTGGTAACAGCAGTATTCCCATGATTGAAATAGACTCAACCTGCATTAGAGTCATACTCCAAGGGACAAGGTAATGCTTCTAATGTAATAGCTCGTGCCATGACGAGCCGGAGGACTTTTCCTTTACAAACTCTAGAACATAAATCATGAAGTACATTTGTCGTGGGAATATATTATTTTATTATGGTATACATTGACTATAATGGTCACAAATTTAAATGAGATTCCATTTTGACCAAAATAAAAAAAAAATAAATAAAGATAAAAAGTAATTTTGAGACATTATAAAGATTTACTTATTTATTTTTGAATACAATTTATCTCCTTTTTTATATTTTGTTTCGTTAATTATATTGTTTCTATTTAGTAATATTGATAAAGTATTTTGAATAATCATGGTTTTCATTAACATTGAGAAGGTCGAATGTCTTACTTGTAAAAATTCTTCTAAATGGTATTCGTTTTCAGCATGTTAATTTGATTTTAATTAACTATTCAATTCGATAGATATATTTGAGTTTCTTACACCCGAGATGTACCGGTTATTTACTAATGTGAATTTTACAGTATCAATGCTAATGTATATTCATATGATAATACGTATAGAATTGCCTTAATCCACAATGGTCAAGAAAAAATATTCTATTTCTATGTATATGTTTTCCGAATCATTCACAAAAGAATATATGTCCATTTATGAAAAAGGATACATTGTAATCCAACGATCGACTGAATTTGGGTTTTTCTAGGAACAGTCCTTTTGTGTGTGTGATCTTTTAAATAAAAATTGATATTCACCAAACTTACCGTTTTTATTTACTTGTAAGTGCCCTTTATCAAACAGAAGCAGAAAAAATAAGGTTAAATAAAAGCTTGCATTTCAAATTTGTTTATTTCAATTGGTTTTTCATTATGTTTACGCTTCTAAAATACCAGATATATTTTATTTATTGTAACATCTATCATTTTAAGCTCATTTAGCTGCAACCTCAACTGTTTTAGAGAAACTCTCTGGTGCTCATCTTCAGGAAATACTGAAAGATACAACTATCTTGTAAAACTGTTAAATATTTCTCAGAAAACATTTTATTTGTTGCAATGAATTTTGTGCTGCCTTGACATATAAAACACCCGATTTTTTCCAACCTTACTTTTGTTTTCTTGGAAGATTTCATTTAAAACATTAATCAAAAACTAATAAAATAGATTAGACCAATAGCCATCATGCCAATTTTTCATTTTAATAAACCAAGAAAAATCATTGAAGACACTCTATTTGGTTTGCAAAAAAGAGGCTCTGTTAAAAATATGCTTTTTTGAATGCCAGAATTAAGTCTTGATTA